ATTCAATCCACACCCAGTCCAGAAAGATTCGGCGCCTCATTCCAAACACATCGGTGTTTATATGGGGGATGAAAATGCCAGGTTTGTTGGGATCGTAACATTGAGTCAACATTTATTAAATGCTGTTTCACTGTCTGGATAATGATTCATTGTTAGGTGCTACTAAGGCAACCAATGAAGTTAGGGGATAACCTCCTAAAAGCAAAGAAACTATTTTTTTTTGCCAAAGTATTACATAGGTGGCCCTAGGTGGCCCTTATGATCCATTACTTACAGGGCCACAAAATTCCGTCGTCCAGGTGCATCACCCCCAGGAAACTAAAGTTTGAAGTTCAGGGTTAGGGGTCATACCGATCCAGCCTCACAAATCCACTTACGTTTATTATAAGGTATATGCCTAAATTTGAACATGTCCAAGTGAATCGAATAATTAAGCAAATGTATATAATTTTTTTTTATTCTACTCTTTCTAAATTTACGTTTGTATTGAGACAACTCCTCCATGTCAGGTGCTTGCGAGAAATTTGATTTTTTTTCCTCTTTGCTTATTTTCTGCAATAGACATTAGACCCGGCATAATGTCAGCCACCTTCTTATCTGCCCTAAATCTAGCATTTTTCTTGATCTAAATTTATTTCTGGCGTTTTGATAAAGTATTCAACGAATCTTGATGTAATGCACAAAAATCCTAAAGGTAGACATAAAACACAAGGGATTTTCTACCATAGAAAAATCCATTGAATCGAGGCTGATTAAATGTTGACACTTCCACCGTGAATATTCCAGCATTAATTCAATGTTGAGTCAATGTGGTAGTATAAACAATGATGGTCACCGCGTTGAATCAATGTTGATTCTACGTCATTTCATCAACGCAGCTAACATTGAAACCGCATTGCCTGTCAACATTGATTCTACATTGAAAGTTCATTTTTATCAACAATTGATTCAACGTTGACATCAACGGTATATCAACATTGATTCAATTTTCAAAACCAACATTGCAACGTTGATTCAACATTTGCTTATGAACGTTGACTATGAATTGAAAATTCATTTTCTTCAACATTGAAGAAATATTGTTTCCACAATGATTCAACGTTGGTATGACAGGTCTCAACAATCTGTTTAATTCGTGTGCATGCGCCGTTTCATGGCTGAAGCATCTGGACAAGACCTCCATCCTCCGAATCCGCTTTTTTAAGATCCCCCCCATCCAAGGACAATGCGAACCTAATGCCGAGATGAGAAAGAGACATCCTGTTCCCCCGGAAGCAGAAGGACACCGACGCGATTGCCGCGATTTAATAAGAGGCTACCCTCACTCCACGCACCCTTCGGCAGTGATCATGATTTGGATTCATCCTCGAACACAGGGTGACGTGGTCTCATGGAGTAATATGACCTCGCNAATGGTCCAGCATTGAAAGAATGTTGGCCCAAAGTGGGTGTATATACGGGGACGGTCACCGCGTTGAATCAATGTTGAAGTAACATGGATGGAACAACAATGATACATTCGATCCACACCCAGTCAACAATGATTCAACGCCTCATTCCAAACACGTCGGTGCCAATATCGGGGATGAAAATACCAGATTTGTTCAGATTTCGAACTCATGGTTTGCGTCACCTAGGTGGCCCTTGAGATCCAACAGTCACAGGGCCACTAAACTCCATCGTCCAGGTGCCCAACCCCTAGGAAACTAAGGTTTGAAGTTCAGGGTTACTAGACTGCCCATTGCAACGTTGCTTGCAAAACCATTTTTTAATTAATTTTTTTTTGGGGGGGGGGGGAAATAATTTATTTCATCTAATCAAGAAGTCGAACATGCGACAGAATACGCCATTGAATGCGAGCGTGGTTCGTAGGATGTCTCTCTCCCGTTGTAATGTTAGGGATGGAAAAGAAGAGTCGGACTGGAGTTTCGTGGCGCAGTGATAACACGTTTGCTTCGTAATCAGGAAGTCTAGGGTTCGAATCGCATCATATTGTCTTCTTATGCTCCCCGAACTCTTCCCCCACCCGCCTCGGGCTATTACGTTCTCGAGAATGGATCCGACAGTCGCATGGTCCGGAAAAAAAGTGCTCCTCTGCGAGAGGGAGACGTACACCCGAGGCAGGCAGAAAGCGACGCACATGCGCACATGGACATTGCTGGGGGACATTGCCGGGGAAATTCATTATTTCATGCATGACAAATTGGGAACGCAAGCCTTATGGTCTCCAATGAGTTACCGATCTTGAGTGTCGCAAAATGCGCTCGGACCCCTTTCCCTTTAAAAATTTTTTTTTTGCACGCTTTGAATAATTTTTTATATTATTTTTAAGGGAAAAAAAAACTCCTTGGTAAAATGCTTTAGTCGTTTTGAAACATATTTTCGATGAAAACTTGATCAAAAGAATATTACTTACTACCTACTGTAGCGATCCAGAAATGGGATTACCCCGGGATACTGTAATGCTGGTGGCCGGGAGGGGAGAGTTGGATGACATGAGAGGACAAAAAAAAAGGCGGAGACGGCTGGAAATCGAACCCGGGCCCCCTGATCGTCGGTCAGGTATGCTACCACTGCACCACCGAACATGCCAACTCAGATAATACAGCCCCCCAGAAAAGTACCCCGGGAGTGAACATTTTGGGTGGAAACTCGACCTTCCCTGGATGAAAGAGGAGGCCATGCAAAGTTTGGTTGCACTGGCTCCTGCGGGGTCCGAATGCATAAAGGAATAGACAGACAGACAAACTTTCTTCTTTATATATATAGAGATGGGTCACACCGATCAAGCCTCACAAAAGCACTCTCGTTCATTAGTAAGGTAAATGCCTAGATATGAACATGTCCAATTCAATCGATTAATTGGCTTTAAAAGTATATACATATATTATTTTTTTTATTGAATCTCCATTTTCTAATTTTACGTTTGTATTGAGACAATTCCACCATGTGAGATGCTCGGGAGAATTTTTTTTCTTGGTGCTTGTTTGCTGCGATAGACACGGCCAGGCGTAATTTCAGCCACCCTCATATCTGCCCTAAATCAAGAATATTTCGTGATCGTAATGTATTCTGAGCGACTAGCTAAACTACTCAACGAACCATGATGAAGTACACACAAAAAATCCAAACGGTAGATAAAAAACAATGGATTTTTTTTTACCGTGAAAGAATCCATTGAATCGAGGTTGATTTAATGTTGACACTTCCACCGTGAATAGTGCAGCATTGATTCAATGTTGATTCAACATAAAAGTATAAACCTTCAACAGTGAAACATTCGATTCACACCAAATCAACGTTGAATCAATATTATGTTCTACCTGGGATAAATCTTCTACAGTGATAAATTTGATCCACACCAAATCAACTTTGAATCAATGTTATGTGCTACCTGGGATGGTGTTCGAGACATCTTGCCCAGGGCTTGTGATCAATCGCAGGCCTATTCAGGCTAGTCACGAAGCATTTCAGTGAGGATGTATAACGTTTGACCGATTCGAGGCCTGTTTCATGTTTCATGAATTGTTTCAGTACAAAAGTTGAACGTTATGCCTATCGGGAGTTCGTCGAACGTCTCGACTAGGTCTGAGATGAGAATGTCTCTGGAATGAAATCCTTGGTGGAATAGGCACGGTAGCGCCTATTAATGCATGGCGACATCCTGTTAAATGCCCAGATATCTGCCTATCTGACCACATCGATCACTGCAAAACCAAAGTTTCATTCTCAGCTCATCTGATTAGCCCAGAACAAAAACCCCAAGTGACACACTCATGGTATCCTTGATGCAACGTTATTTTATTAATGCAGCTAACGTTGAAATCACATTGGCCTGTCAACATTGATTCTATTTTCATACACCAATGTGTTGCAAGGGTATAATGGGGATAATACCCAGGATAATGTCTGGTCCATGGACGCCCAGGCATTATAGCGGCAGGTTTGTCCTGGAGGTGGTAACGTGGTGGCAAGTGGGACGTGCAGTTGCTGACCTGCTACCTAGTGTAGGTGGAGGGCCATCAGCTGTCCCATTATGTAACGGACTCTCCAATAGTTGCAGTTCTAAGAGTCCTCGCCAGATGGAACTGTAACGTATGCCAGCCTATGACCGCGCAACGTCCAGTGTATCAGTAGAGAGTCAAGGCGGGGAGGAAGCTGAAGGAGGTGAACTAAAACATCCATCAACACGTGGAGGGAGGTGAACCCAGTGTTTGGGGTCAACCAACCTGTGGAAGGGCTCCTTACAATTTAAATGCATGATCTTTCCTTCTCGAATGTGCTACCCAAACACTGTACAAGGAGCCATAACATCATTATGCGAATGGGTATCACAGTCCTTCCAATCAAGTCTAATCGCCAAAACCTATCCTCCAATCCAGCAAGATTTCCGCTGAAGATCCCTCCCTCGATCCCTCACTCCGAGGTGACTGAAGAGCTCGAGTTAGTACCGATTTGACCGGGGTACTCGGGGCCTTTTAGATCGTGGGTGTTTTGAAACTGGCCGCCTTTCTCTCTAAAAAACATACAGCGTTATAGTTAGAGGATCTTTTCGCTTCAATGGTCGTGAGTTTTCCCCAGAACTTGCAAGGTTTTATCTGGAAGTGAAGATCAGCATTTAAATTGTAAGGAGCCCTTCCANCCTTTCTCTCTAAAAAACATACAGCGTTATAGTTAGAGGATCTTTTCGCTTCAATGGTCGTGAGTTTTCCCCAGAACTTGCAAGGTTTTATCTGGAAGTGAAGATCAGCCCTTTGTCATTGAAAGTACTGTAAAGGGGTTGGACCGGTTGTTTGGCTAACATTTCTTTTGTCTTTTTTTTTTATTAGTTTTTCTTTTTGGAAATACATTTTTTTTTGTTTTCTTGAATTACGCCTTAGTTACTCCCACTCGAATAAGAATTGGCACGGACCTGATTTCCTGGAAGGGAATTCATTGTAGTGGAATCGGGGCGCGTTAAGGTAAAGTTTTTATTTTAACTTACTTAATAGTTGATATTTTCATAAATCCAACCCACTGCGCCCTGTGCCCGTTACAGAACCCATGTTCCCTGCACCATACAAATGCAATTAAGTATCTGCCTTCTTATTTAGTATGAGGTTTTCCTCCCCTCTTTTCTCTTTACATTGTGCAATTCATGAACAGATATGAGGAGAGCATGTAATTATGCTTTAGAATTAATGGAATTATGATATTTTTAGTGCAATATATAACTCACGGAATTATTAAATGCTGACGTATGGGAATGCAGAAGTGTCCCAGAATAGGGAAGGGCAGAATGCATAAGTTCTCACATATCATACATCTATATATATTGTGCTAGACAGTACTTATAGAGTTCTGCTCATGCCCTTAGGGTTCTGGGTGAGATGTGAATAGGAGAGCAGTGGGACATCTTGGTACTTTTGTGTACTCTTCTGAATGCCCTAGAGCTGCAAGATGTAGAGGCGAATCGGATATGCATGGTGGCACTAACTCCCTTCAAAACAGATGGTTTACTTATTGTAAAAATTCACATGAGTCTTATAACGACAGAAAATGAACATCGAAGTTACACAATATTAATATAAACAAGATATTTGGGTGTCAATTTCATATCATTTTCTTGTGAACTTGCTGCTGAGGATGTGAAAGTGAAAGCCAATTTATATAAAATTCTCATCAATTTTACATCACCCTTTTCATATCACAGAGGTGACATTTCTGCGAACATGTTGAAATATTTTAAAGACTGAAAAATAAATATAAAATTAACACAATTTTGACTTTTTGATAAAATGAATACAACTCATCTCAGTAATGCGGCAACGCCGCATTACTGAGAAAGGAGAATACTTTGAAGGGGATTCATATTAGAAGCTCACAGGTTCCCAGGTAATTTAGGTATTCTTTGAATTTTTTGTTCCCATCGCACAATACAAGTTCATGATTTTTGTCCTAGCAATGTAGCAATCTAGCAATGTCCTACCAAAGTAACTTCGTTACTTTTGTCTTTGAAAGCCTTATTTAATGAATTTTTTTTAACGATAGATGTTGCGAGTGCGTGATATGTGTTATTGAACCAAAATTGCAGCTTGATTTGAGGTTTGGGGTCTTTGGGTTAGGTCCAACCATTGACTGCAACATAATTAAAAACCATTAAAACTATTTGTTGACAATTGCTTCAGTAAAAAATAGAGGGATGACCTTCTACTGCCTGGACTTCAAAGGAAATTGTGCAGGAGGAAGAAAAGTCTCCATGCATATCTGGAAAATAATTATTATCCCGGAATTCCGGTTAAAATGATATTGGAGATGAAAAAGTTACATAAAAATTGTTTTCAAATAATGCAATAAAAATTGTTCTAACCCTATTGGAACAAAACTTGTGAATTAACAAAAACGGGATTGGCTTTCAAATCATGCAGGAGGTCGTCCACTCCAGTCCATCCAGCAGTCATAAAATACTTTATTACTGCTCGATGCTCGTTGTTCGACATTTCTGAAACAGAAGCAGACTTGATTGGGGAAACAATTTTTTGCACAAAGGAAATTATGCAATTAGGGAAAAAGAGGTAAACTATAGTAAAAATGCACGCTCTACACGATAGTTGTAAGGTAAATGTTTTACAGACGCAATTTAGGTTCAGTTACTCAGACTTTCCGAACACTATCAAAACACATAACTTAATGATCTATTTTCCCATCTTCCGCACACCCTAGGAAGAGTAAGAGAGATAATGCAATGCGTACGAATAAATTTGAAAGAGGTGTGATACATCTTGTTGCTACTATCAATAATTTTTGAAAGCATACGCCTCATGAAATATTATGACATGGTGTGTAACGGGTTTTGAAGACCATTGGGTAGACCTACGCCCACTTGACTTGAAATTGACTTGATACCTGATACTTGACTTGATTCTAAAAAGCATTTAATTTTGAACATTAAATTCATTTTCTCCTATCCTAATTTAGTAATGAAGGCTGGAGACAGCGATCTTTGGAAGGAGTTTAATAACATGCTCCATAACAGGGCCAATTTTCGAAGTCAAGTTTAGATACTTACTTGGGGCCGTCCTTTATATTATCGAATTAGGTACGGACCTTTACGAGAGATGATGCTGGCTCATTCCATCGCTGTGAGAGTCGCCAGCAGTGGGAGTTCATTGAAATATAAATGCAGTTTTAAATGTCATGCTCTCTCTCGTCCTTTCGGTTTTTATCTAACATTACCACAGGTACTTCGGGGAAATGCCAGATATTACGGTCGGTTTGTCACTTTTTCCTTTTTTTTTCATTCCATCTATCCGCAGTAACCATAGCGACCGGACAACACGACCTGCTGCGCATGTGTAGCTTTCCGCCCGGGGCAGGGTGCCCGTCTTCCACTAAAACATCCACTTACCTTCCAGCCCGCGCAGTTGATGGATCTATAATAAACAATGGGAGAGATCAGCTGGTCCTGGCCACATAGACAGGGTTGCTAGGCGTTCGCGTGAAATGCCGCATTTGCCATCCTACACATTCTGTCCTCCCGTCTCCGTGCGACGCGGGCGCTCGAACCATGGAGAACATGACTAGCTGTCTGGGCCTTTTCATATATGCCTATGCTGTAACAATGGCAGTTAATATTTATTGAAATGGATGGTTAGGATACAGCGAAGATTATAATTCCAGTAGTATAGGGGCCATTGGAATGGCACATATGTATCTGGGGTGGTACTCTCTAGTTACAATGTAAACCGCCATAGCTCCGGACACTTAATATCAGGTTTCTTTGTATCCTGCAAATGAGGAATGTTTTCATAGTCTTAGAGGATACATCCCACCATAAACTGACCATAGATAGTGTTTTCATAGTTAGAGGCAAGTTCAGCCTTGGCAGCATCCCCAATAACACGCTCGTTCTCCTTGATTGCAACATAAGAGGGTGTTGTTCGATTTCCCATGTCATTGTGTATGATTTCCACTCCTTTTCCCTTCTGGTATACTCCAACGCAGGAGTAGGTAGTTCCCAAATCAATCCCGATTGCTGGAACTTCGACCAATGCAGAGGCCATGATTTCGAACTGAAAACGACACCAAAACATGAAGGTGTAATAAGGAGATAGACTTACTTCATAGCCTACAATATAATAAGCACTCCGGGCATGAAACACATTTTAAGATACCGTATTCTAGGTTTTCAATGAAACTGATTCATTGGAGATTTTTAGGAAAAAGTGCACTCTGGAAAATATGCCCATTTCTGGAAGCAATATTTCGGTGTCCTATATTCTTCCTTGAGTTAACTCAATAACAAAATTGGATGGATCCTAGACTTCATTGAATGAGAGTTCAAAGTTGCACGCAGAACAGGGGATGCCGCATATGAGGGAATTTTAGAACAAGAGTGCACAGTTGGATTTCTTATGATTCCATCTTCTTATTGTTTCTTCTACACTTTGCTTCTCAGACACGGAACTAGTTCATTTATATTTTGTCACACGCTTTAGTAACTAAGTGAACCCTAAACTTGAAGTGAACTAGTGAACATAAGCACCTGAAAATAATATTTTAAGAAGTAAAAATGTTTCATTTATGTACTAGGTGAAGGCATTAGACCCCGAGAAAGAAAAAACTAATTTAAAAAATATTTTTTCACATAATGTTCCACAACTTAATCGATGTGCGATACTCGTTAGTGCAAATAAACTCTGTGCACGCTAAAGGTAAAGTCACAGAAAGGTGGTTACCTACGGAAACCACCACACCCCAAAGAGTTTAAATTACTTGAAATATGCAACTCTTGAGACGCTGTTTCCCTCGAAAAAAATCCAAATGCATTCCTTTCAGAACTATAGGATATTTATGAGAACCTATAGGTTTCCAATAGGAAGTATGAGGTTTAAATAATTATGTTTAATTTCTTTCAATAAATATGTTTCTCTAAGTGGCGAAACCTTATTTAATCCTTTGACGAGTATGTCCATATATATACGGGCTGACATCCTCCTGCCCTCCATGTACTCACTATGGGTGATCTTGGCGTTAAAAAAAAACCTTTCCTCAAAGGTTTAAAGGTACGTTCCTGTAGAAATATCGGTTGCCTCCCATGAGAGGAGGCAACAGAGATTCATATTGAAATCAATGCTCCAATGGTTTCCTTCAAATCTCTTTATATGCTCTTATTTGCCATAGCAAAAAAATATTGAAATGCTTCTCTCCCAATATCCACTATGAGTGGAGATATTCCTAAAGGTAGGATTTTATCTATACTCAGCAATCCAACAGGTATTTTTGCATCAAGTTTCAACTTCTTTTTTTTATCTCTCTGTTACCCAGAGACTACTCTTACTATTGTTGAATCAAGAAGAAATTCTAGAAAATTCCCGCATCTCGTGAAAAATGTGTAGTGAGGTACTTTACTTGAAATTAATATTTCAACTAAAATTGGTACCTTGGGTACCAATTTTATTGGTACCGACCTTGGGTCATCTTCGATCGACTCTCTTCCCCACTTAAACTGCTTGCTCCAAAATTTAACTTGGTAATAAGAAGGCGAAGACACACATTAAACGTTAGACATACGTTCATGAATCTCCTTAGGTGCTTTGCCTTCTTTGGTGAGGAATTTCATCACTGAACGATGTTCAACTTTCGTCAAATCCATGACACAGACTCGGGAAAAGAAATCTAATGCGCTTTACGTTCGTGAATCTCCTTAGGTGCTTTCCCTTCTTTGGTGAGGAATTTCATCACTGAACGATGTTCAACTTTCGTCAAATCCATGACACAGACTCGGGAAAAGAAATCTAATGCGCTACCACTTTGAATGGACTTGAGCCACTGAGTTGGTATAGTGGTGGGGCACTCACGAGACCTGTCGAGACATGTCACAGCAGGCACAGGCCTGTTGCTCATCCCTTTCATATTCAGGTAGATAACTTGACACAGACTCCGGAAAAGAAATCTAATGCGCTACCACTTTGAACGGCCTTGAGCCACTGAGCTGGTATAGTGGTGGGGCACTCACGAGACCTGTCGAGACATGTCACAGCAGGCACAGGCCTGTTGCTCATCCCTTTCATATTCAGGTAGATAACTTATTGAGTGGCCCTCGTACCATACTAATAATCTTAGTTATCATAATGCAACCATGTCAGGGCCGCGGGGAGTGACCAAGATTTTGCATGAGAGCCCTGAAATGGAATGCGACATGGCCTTCAAAAAATTGAATTTAAAAGTCCTTTCCCTGACTCTATGCGATAATGAAGTCTCCTGGGATATGCCTAGAGCAGAGATTGAGACGGCTGTCCTTCAGAGAGAAAATTGGAATGAACGGAAGGCGGCTCTGGGCCAGCCTCTTTCCATCATGGGTCACACACTTTCATCCACGAATGTCCGAAGGACTCGGGCACGTTCGAGTAGGGTCAGTGTTTCCTATTAAAAAATTAGCGAACTTCTCCCTGCCTTATCGATTTTTCCACAGTTTTGGCAATACATAAATACCAAGGGACGGGCATTCCAACCAGGGCATTTAAGTTATCGAATCCTTATGTGTACTACATGTTATAATGCCAACACGTGTATTTCGACATTCAAACAAGAAGTTTCTTGATAATATTCATATTCAACCTGAACTGCAGCAGGCAATATTGGTCTGACTTCTAGAGCAGGGGCTGCAACGCCTCAAGTATAATCAGGTGAAAGAAGCAGCAGCAGTTGCTGTTCCATTACCTTACAAAGACCTATCAAGAAAACATATATCTTGGTCTTTACGTCCTGAGGCACCACAGTATGTCTTAGTTGGCAGCGGCGTCGAAGTTATACCTCAAAATGACAAGCTTATATCGGAATCAACAAGTTCTCACAGGACCAAAACTAACTCGCCAACGCCTCCAGGAAAGAGCAGCTCACCGGCGAAAGCTGGTTCCCTATGATGTGGATGATCCCTCATGGCATGGACGATATACTTGCTCTCCAGCCACTCCTTCACGGCTGCTGCCTCACGCTTGGAGAGCGGAGAATCTGAATCTCTAATGGAGAAGGAAAAGCAGACGCTTCAATAAGATGAATTCAGCTATCTCTGTGAAGCTTTCCTATCTCCGAGGCCTCCGGAAACAAAGAGACAGTGAACGTAATATTATCCTGTGGCCCATTTCATTCGCAAAAAGAGGAAGCTTTTCCCTCTTGCCATCCAATGGCACCCGAGACAGAACGGATTCGAGCTGACCTGGACACAAAGACGTCAACGAGGGGATCCATCATCGGCAGGAACCTCCACACTCTCCCGTTGCTCTGAACTCTTTGGATGTCTCCGGAGAGACCAGGGAGGCTCGCCACATGGCAGAAATCTACTGTAGGGAATTGGTCTTCGATAGTTCGCATCCAAGACGTTGCATTTTTGTCCTCTCTGGAATAATTCGTGTATATTCTCACCACCCAACCTGTTGACATGGGATAATTTAGGTTGAGCATTAACCGAACAGCATTAATTTCACTGTGATAACTTGTAACATATAAAGAAGAGCAAAGCACCTGGATACCATGTGTTGGCACTGTCTGGGATTTCGAAAATGAGCTTCTCATAAGGAGCACTGCCCGAGGCGTTCCCATGGGTCCATAAAGACTGAAGGAGATTACCTTCTGATGAGGACCACGCGACATGCTTCGTTCGCTGCAATAGACATTTAGATTTGGGGCAGCTATCGTCTTTGTAAAGTTCATGAGTTTGTGATAATGGTTGTGAGTGAAATCAGTGGGACGTCTAATGGAGAGGAGAATGCACTAACTAGCGATGGCTGACGTAAGGAGAAGAGGAAAAAAACGGCTGACAAGATTCTTCGCCATTAGCAGTTTTCACAGCGAGAAGAAGAAACGGATTTTCTCTCAGAGCCAACTGGGAATGATCTGAAACAATATTGAAATGATGAAACTTTTACTCCATGCCGTTGCATAACGTCACATAAATTTCCATGTGCGTTTCTTAAAGCACAGTTCATCCCGAAAGCCAAAAACTCAAGTGCAGCGTAGGTTCTGCAATCGAAGCATTTCTGCGATTCAAGATGTGAAATGCTATGCATCCGAAATTGTACGACCTCGTGTAGGAGGCCTCTTTGCAGTAACTGATATAACTATTGCATTATCATGATACTGTGATGACGAAATGTTTATCTAACATATATAGATGATCGTTAGTGAGTGACTCAAATATCTTTTTCATCACAAAGGCGAACTCGAGCAACCATGACGACGGCGTCAATTCGTCCAGAAAGGAACCCCATCTTGCCAAAAAAAAAAATTACATTCGTGCCTTGCTACGACTAACAAAATGATCGAAAAGACCTTCGTCACGTTACAGGCTCCCCAACCGCAGAAAGCTCAGCTTGCGCCATCTAGTAAGAAAAATTTGCAGTTATTTTGCCAAATAGGATGGATTTACCTGAGTCCTAATTTACGTGCGTCTGATAATTCCGATTAATGAAGTGACGAGGTGATATCTGCAGTATTTGTTCCTGGAAAGTAGAGTCGAATGAACCAGAGGCATGGGGCGAGGCAACGACCTTCGGTCGGCGGATCGAGAAGGTTCTCGATCGACATTTTGAGTTTTGCGGATCTGTTATTCTTCTCCCTGTGCTTAATTCTCATGCTAGATCGATATTCCGTTATGAACGGGACTGTTCGTTCGCTTGGATTCTGGAGCCGAAACCTGTACCCAGCTAATGTTGTCATGCAGTCATTGGCCGGTATGCAAGAACCTATCGCTGGATAGCCTATTACATGGTAGTTATCGTGATAGGTATCAGGCGATAGGTTTATAATTTGCTAGGTTCCGTATGCAAGAACAATTTATAGGCCTATCGTGATAGCCATCATGATAGGTATCATGAAACCTATCATGATAGGTATTCGCCATTCTTCTAGATGCCAACTTCCTATTCATCGGGTTTCGCGCCCATCTGTAACGGCCGTGTTTATGCCTAATCGCATTATGACTGACGAGAGTGCTTTGTGCTGATTCAATGGTTTCATTCTGACCCTGTATATTAGACTAGTATTAATACTTGAATTCCGATTGCCATGGTTTGATCCGAATTGTAGACCACATTGATATTTAGTTCAGCCAACACCGATCACTTCCATGCTGCACAATAACTTCATGCTCCCTCACCACGAACAAACTCTCCTCTATTTTATCTCTAAGAAAAAGAGAGAAGTTTCCTCCCTTTCCCTCTCCACTGAGGAAGACAAACTGAATCCGAGCTGACCTAGACACAAAGACGTCAACGAAGGGATCCATCAAAGGCAGGAACCTCCACACCCTCCCGTTGCTCTGATTCCTCTGGATGTCTCCGGACAGCCCAGGGAGGCTCGCCACGTGGCAGAAGTCCACGGTGGGGAATCGATCTTCGATTTCTTGCATCCACGACGTAGCGTTTTCGTCCTCTTTGGAATAATTCGTGTATATTCTCACCACCCAACCTGTTGACGCAAGACAAGTCAAACCGTGAGCGCTAACAGGCATTAAATAATTGTCTTCAATTTCACCAATTTCACCAGAAAAGTGCATGACCTGGATACCATATCTTGGCACTGTCTGGGATTTCGAAGATGAGCTTCTCATAAGGAGCTTCTGCCCGAGGCGTTCCCATGGGTCCATAGAGGCTGTACGAAATTATCTTTTGATGTTGACCCCGTAAAATGCTTCGTGGGCTGCACATGATGGTCCCAGCCGGCCATGTTGCATTCTTCGTGAAGTTCGGGAATACGTGAGCATCGTCATCGGTCGCACCGACGCTTGGGCGATTTTTGGAGAGGCCGATGGTAATCACGGTAATCAAGGTAAGCAAGGTAATCACGGCGAAGAGAAGCGAAAAGAAACATCGGGCGAGATTTTTTGCCATGAACAGTTGTCATGAGAAGGCGGTGACAATTTTCTCGATATCCTCAGGTTCTGCCGAAAAGCATCTGAAACGAAATTGCAGCGACGGAATCTCAATTCACTGCAGCCAGCGAAAGTAGAAGTATAATTTACATTCGTGTTTTTCATGCGAGGATCAGACAAAACGTTCCCGAACATTCGTGCGAATGAACTTGTTCTCGTGCTTCCGCGCTTGGATTTTGTTTTTCGTAACGGTAGCCGTACGGATGAGTGATGTGTAAGAAAGCGATATGCCATTACGGGTGATGACGAGGTGTCGATCAATGGCTTTCCTTGGAGGACCTTGGAGGACCTCGGGGGTTTCCGACACCACGGCACCCCGCGGGCTCACTCTCGTTCGCGAGTTTTTGGTCGAACGTTACGATATCGCGGCATCACACCCGCCCACAGTTGACACAGCTGTTTACAGCTGTGTCACCTGTTTACAGGCGGCACATGTGTGACATGGGTGACACATCCATCCCGTTTCCCTAATATGGCAACATGTGACTGAAACAAAAACTGTCGCAAGAGCACGACTCCGCTATCCTGCAAAAGGTGTATCGCGTGACTATTTCAAAGAAAATCAGTGTGGATTCCAAAGGTAAGCATTACAGAGAGTTGGAAACTTTTTGAATGACTCTCGTAGTGTGGCTCATGCCGGTTTTTGGAT